ATTCCTATAATTAAAAACTATGCAAACAATACATAAGTGAATACATCACATTGGCAATGTTTTCTTATCATAAGAAAACAAATTTATAGAGAAATTAGTGCAAATCACTTTTCACTTGTGCTTTATTTAGGTGACAACTGTTTACAGTGCTTAATACTTAATATTCAAACAGCTATCATTTAAATTACAGAAAACTACAAATTTTTATCCCCTGCCATCTCCTTTCACTGAGTCTCCTGTCCTGTTGTGTGTATTAGGGAAAATAATTAAATGTTATGTCTTATTACTTAAAGTTTCCCATCCGGATGTGTGGAATAGAGCAGCTGATTCCATTACCATACAGGACAGGAGATAGAGTGAGAGATGAAATTATAGAGGAGCAGATCAAGTAATATAGACATTTACAGAGTTGAAAAGGAGACACAGTGGAGAACAAAGAGGGTTCTGTCTGTATATATAACTGGCATACAAAGTTATTGCAATTGTGTGCTCTAGCATGCAGAAATATTTAATAGTATTTGCAGTTGTCCTACATTGTCTTATTTGTATCTCATATTCATACTGATTTACTGTTTTGTAATAATGTGCTTTTTTCTGCTCAATGAAAGGAAGTGGATCATTGTTGAAGCCCCACCCCTCCATCCAGCTCCTTTCCCATTTGTCAGCTCTCTTGTCAGTCGCTCTTACAGTCCAATGGAGAAGGCCCCTGAGTCAGTGGACTGTTTTTCATCATATTTAAAGGACAGCGTCTGGTTACTCTTGTACAGATCGTTGCTGTTGGACATGGTCGACCTGATCTGGTGTTCGGACACCTGGACAAACAGAGGAAGGCAGACAGACAGAGCACAGAGTGAAGAGAGGCAGACACACTGACTGGACATTACAGAACATTAACACTGCAATGTGAGAGAGGAGTTAATACAGTACAGTACATTAACACTGCACTGAGAGAGAGGGGTTAATACAGTACAGACACACTGACTAGACACTCCAGTACATTAATACTGCACTGAGAAAGCCCTGACGTATTTAAATTCAAAATCATTAACATCATATCTCAGTTCTATGGATTAGGAGTTCTATGTTTACAATGAAATAACTTGACATTAAGATCAGTGTGAATCAGTACAGTGAAGTGCTCTGTCAAAGTTAGTGAGAATTTGATTGCAATATCAGTGAGATGGGCAATCACTCTCACAATAAAGTTAGTGAAACCAACAGTGGGTCAGACAGCTCTGTCATTTCAAGTGTAAATCCGAGTTGTAATGCAGCAATTAAGTGGGTGCTCTGATATGATCACACAGGCTACTGGACAAGACCTGACAGTTCTGACTTGCATAGGAGCTGACTGACTAGTCCTCCACCTCTTCAAATTTCTTGGCCTTGTACTGCTCCGCCCCTTTCAGGAAGTTCAAGAGGATGATATCACAAAGGACAGTGCCCTGCAGCCAATGAGAGAAGAGCAGGATGTCAGTCAAAACGCCAGCAGAGGATGTTGTAGCTTATAAGAATGAGAATGAGAATGAGATTTCTTACCACTCCAACTGAGGTGAAAGCTGCCACAATGTTGATCAGTGTTGGAATCATGTTAAATTTCCC